GCGGTACGTGCGTGCAGTTCCCGAAATTTCAGCCCCGCAGCTTTTATAGGTCCTGAGATAAAAGTGCGTGACAGACGCACACACAGACACACGGGCACACGGACAACCTCTCGTCAGTATGCGTTTTTCGCATTGTATTGCTGCAAAAAACGCATAAAAACGCCTAAAAATGCACTGTGTCTGGTGCCAGGTCATGTTGCTCAGTGACCTCACTTTCTGTTTCTAACAAATTTTAAATAAGAACATGTCCATACGATGTTTTCGTAGTATGCTTGTTCCATGTTCATATTAGCAGGGTCATCCGGACAGTCGATGTGGGGCTCAAAATGTTGCTGGCATGTAGTTGCAGGTCGAAATCGGCTGTTCTAAGCCTTCTCATATTCAGATCTTGCTTTTCGGACCTATCCTACCGTTCACGGGCCTCATACGTATTTGTCCTCATGCAAGTTTGAATAAAAACGCATACCTCCCGGTCGTCTTTGACAATTTTGAAATCGATATCGCCATGAGACAGTTTAAAAAACCATTTCAGACAGGTACCTTCTTCGGTAACTGATACTTCAACAGAGGTTGATGCACGTGCACCGACAACCACTTTATTGAGCTGCTCTTCGAAGGTGTGATTTTGAATTTTGTACCTGCAAAAGAGACAAAAGAGATAAATCGAGAAATGCTCTCAGGATGCGCCCACAGCTGAGTGTAGTTTTGTCACCTCTCCTACCCTAAAACACATGCCTAGAAGATACATATGTATTCCAGAAGTTATCTGGACGAATGCGTTTGACCCGCTGGCAGTAAAGCAAGCGCTACGCCTCGTCTAGCGATTTTTGCTTTTCTGTTTGGTACATGTTGATTATTTTGCGAAAAGTACCATTTGTACGTGGTTGGAAAACTTCCATGCTCACGACCAACAGCTTCATTGCTTCCTTTTTGTGTTTTACTACTTCGTGCGTATACAACTGCCTTTGGCACTATTCAGTTGATGAGGAACCGGTTATGAGTTATTCGACTTCAATTCTAGTAACACTGCTGACTCAAAATCGCCTGAGCAAATTACTTTTTTCAGAATCACTAAA